GAGAATTTTTGTTTTCTTGACATTGACATTTTTCCTGATACCTATATCAAAAAGGCAGCGAGGTCTTGGAGCGGCAGCAAGGTTTTGGAGCGGCAGCGAGGTCTTGGAGCGACAAGATTTGGAGTCCTGGTGTGATGCTGTGGTTTAATGCACTAGACTCCAAGGCTGTTTAACTGCAAGGAGCGGAAAGTCTCATCTGTCTCATGCGGAGGGCCTGGTGGATTCGAGCTGCTGACCGCGGGGTTTCAATCAAATACAATGGTGTAATAAAAACATTACTGGATAAACAGAAGCTAAGAGATTTTTCCAAAGCCATCCCTGTGCAACAAAACACCCTAAGGAGAGTTCTTTGGACTGAGGCCCAACAAGAACAGACAACAACCAGAGATTGACATATGTGGCAGCACCACCCATAACTCAACTGATAAAAGGAAGAGTCAAGAACAGAACAAAACTGTAGTATGAATTCAGAGGATCTGGGAGGTCCATCTTTAAATAAAACAATCACAATGTCAAAGAAGGTAAAAACATAGGAACAGAGATTCAGGTGGTGAGGAGTTTGGGTAGATTACATGATAAAATATGCTATTTTAAGTGGAGGGAAAAGTTAATAGAACATAAGGTAACCTCAAAGGAAATTAATACTTCACATCATACCAAGATACTGGAAATCCAAGAAGAACATGGCAACACTAAAACTATGAGGAAACTGACAACAAAGAACACAAGAAACATGAACTCAGCACAGGAAAGCATGCAGAACAAGGGAACCTGTAAAACCACAAAAACAAATTAAAAAAACCATAATAACAGTAATTAATTTATACCTATCAATAAATGCACTGATACAAAATGATTAAATGCTCCAGTTAAGAGACTGAGAGTGGCAGATGGATACAAAAACAAGATCCTTTAATATGCTGTCTGCAAGAGACACACCTTATACACAAAGGCAAAAACACACTAAAATTTAAAGGATGAGAAAATATATACCAAGCTAATTGCAATCAAAAGTGTGCAGGAGTGGCTATACTAATCTCGGATAAAATAAACTTTAAGGAA